ATTCCATGATGGTATAATAATAAATACAATAATTACTGACATTTGGATAGTACCATCAGGTTTAAAAAAATTATTTTCCTCACAACAACCCAGTGAGACTGGTACTGCAAGTAGTATTATACTCTTTTTAAAGGTAGGGAAACTGAAGGACAGAGAGGTTCACTTGCCTCTGGTCATGTAGTCAGGAAAGTAATGGCCCTAGGTCTATTGAAACCCAGATCTATTGAAAGCAAAATCTACTGCTTTTCCTACTATTATGTGTGTGTGTGTGTGTGTGTGTGTGTATTGTATACAATACTGCCTTATATGAGAATGTAGAATTATATACATGTAGAAAAAAATACATATGCACATTATAAATTTCTCATGTACATGCACATACACACAAGCACCCAAATGTTTTTCCACTTGATGTAAAATAAACATGCACAGATTTTTTGGCTTTACCAACTTGTACTTTTCCTCTAGGAATGAACAAAACTTTACCAGCAATGTTTTTCTGCTCTTTAATTGGAAGTCCACTCCTTCCCCTACCCCAGTTCCAACAATGAAAAATGAAAAAAGAGAAGAAATTCAGTCCATTATTATGATTGCCATTTCACCTCTTCTGAGTGGGAGACCATGAAGGGTCTAGAGTTTCATCTGGGAAAAGTTCCTTTGCCCAGGATGGTTTGAATACTTCCCTGAACTCTAACTGACTTTTGCAATCCCATGACATGTAAATAAGTTCCTGTGATTTCCCATAACTTTGGTTATGGACCTTGGAGAAAGGGCCACAAAAACATCTCATTTCAGAATGTAAGGGCAGTGCCAATACATTTGGAAACTAATAACCATAAGGTAACCCTGGAAATTGACTGTCAAATAAAGTTCAATTTCAAGTTCAAATGTGAGAAAAGGATCAGTATTTGTATCACATTATTATTATACCTTTAGGCCCAGCCTTTTGCTACATTTCAACTGTCTGATGATGATGGTGGTGATAGGGACAAGCACTGAGTCTGTGATTCATTGGTATAGAACCAATGAGAATTGGTTCTCCTAATATTGTTTAAGAAGATCTTTTTGTTGTTGTTGTTTTTGTTTTTGTTGCTTTTTTGTTGTTTTTCTTTTTTTGCGAGGCAATTGGGGTTAAGTGACTTGCTCAGGGTCACACAGCTAGTAAGTGTCAAGTGTTTGGTCTGAGACCAGATTTGAACTCAGGTCCTCCTGACTTCAGGGCTGGTGCCCTATCCACTGCGCCAACTAGCTGCCCTTTCTCCTAATATTGGATTCAAGTATATTGGAACTCCCAGTATGTTAGAACTTCACTTCAGTTGGCTCTGGGCTTTGAGTCAGTCAACCGACCAATAAGCATTTACTCAGCCTACTGGGGGAGCCAGGCACTGAGGATACAAATACAAAGAAGGAAGCAACACCTACCCTTAAGAAGTTTATATTCTAACAAGGGAGACAAAAGTATATATAGATAATAGATAGATAGACATAGATATATAGATATAGATAGATATGTACATAGATATAGATACGTGTATATAGTATATATATATGTAATATGTGTATATATTATATTATATGGACAAATATACATATAATGTGTATATGCATTATTTACACACACATGAGAGACAAAAACGCATATATGAGAGACAAAAACATATATATATTTAACATATGTATATATGTTCAGAATTATTATAAAGAGAATCAATGCAAATAAATACAAAATGGTTAAAGATGAGGTCGCTTCAGAGGGAGAGCACTAGCAGTTGGGGTGAATCAGGAAAGGCTTCTTATAAAAGGTGACATAAACTAAGTCTTGAAGGCAGAGAGGGCTTCTCTGAGTGGAGGTGCAGAGGTAGCACATCCTAGACACGGGAGACAGCCAACAGAAAGGCACAGGAATAGGAAATAGAGTGTCATCTGTGAGGCACAGAGAGAGGGCCAAGTTGTGCTTGATCAAAGACTTAGGGAGAGGGAGTAAGTGTACAATTAGGCTGGAAAGGCTTGGAGGCAATAGGGAGCCACTTGTCTTTATTGAGTAAGGCAGTGGGATTAAACTCAAATAGAAAACTGATCCCTGTGGGCCATGTATTAATTTAGAAAGCAATGCATAATCTACACAGTATTGTATTTTTATTTATTTTGTTGAATATTTCCCAATTACATTTTAATCTGGGTCTGACAGCACTCTGGGATTGTGGAGTAGAGGACACCCACGGGCAGATCTGTCTTTAGGGAAAATCACACTGATATCCACATGGTAGAAGGGCTGGCCAGAGAGATTATAAAGAAGAATCCAGTGCACAGTGTTCATTCATCTGGCATGGCCCCTGGGCCAATGTGAGCCACTGGGAAGATGCCAAGAATGCCCCTTTTTTTCATTCATCCAGGCACTTTTTTGTACCTTTTCTTTTTAGGGGAAGGAGAACATTAAATTATCCTCCATTATTTCCCTGTTCCAGAGATTTATTCACAAGTTTCTTCCTGTCCAACAGAAAAGTTTTAACTTCAGTAAGTGTTTTTCTGGTGCAAAACATAGTGTATGAAAAATAAAAAGAAATCTGTTCTTTATGTTTTCTATTCTTACCCCTAGCTTTGCTATCCTGGACACTTTCCTAACACACCTAACAATGCCCCTCTCCCAACTTCCATTCTGATGGGACTGTGTCCAAAGCCATCTCCAGTAGCAGGGCTTTCCCCAGTGTGGAGCAGAAGGAGGAGATGCAGCACTGGAAGGGGACCTCTCCAGACCTCACTCAAAAGCTCTGAAAGGAAATGTTTTCTCCAAGTATGTTCCATATTCACTTGGAGCCTGTGGAGGAGTCCAGCCAGTTGAATTTGGGTGTTTTCGCCCTGTCATCACTGTGGGCACAAAGGAGTTCAGGAACCTCTAAGCAGTGATTTTTGGGAAGCCATGCAAAGATGACTGGCTGATAGGATGCTAACTCTGCAAGCTCCTGGAAAGATCCCAAGAGGCCATACGGTATGGTGGGAAGAATGGTGGACTTGATTATCTGAAGACGTGGGCTGGGTTCCTGGCACTGCTGGTTGTGTGATCTTGGATAAGTCACTTCATCAAATCAGGTGGTTGGTCTAAATCAAGGGTAGGAAGATAGGAAAACAAATGCCCCGACCTCATTGTCTAATTGAAAGCAGCTTAGCCTAGTGGGTAGTGATGGACTATAGGAGTCAAGAAGACCTGAGTTCAAATCCGACCTCAAACACTTACTAGTTATGTAACCCTGGGGCAAATAACCCTGATTGCTTCTCATATATATATATATATATATATATATATATATATATATATATATATAAGCAAGTTCCAGTAGATAGATGTTCTCATTACTTTACAGGTCAGGACATTGAATCATTTATAAGGCCAAAAAAGTGATTTGTCTGGTCCTACAATAATTCAGCAAACTTCCTAGGACTTCTGAGTCTCACTTTCCTCCCAGTTTGGAGACATCATAGCTGTAGAGTCAAAAAAAAAAAAAGGAAAGGAAAGAAAAGAAAACTGAGCCAACAACTGTACTGCAATTTTCCCTATTTCAATTGAAGGAGTCAGACGGAAATGAACAGATGGGAATGTTGAAAGATACGTTTCTTTTGTCTTTAATAGCGTAAAGAAGTGTTTGATGAAATAAATGTGCATTTCTTTGCCTCCCTGTTAGGGACATGCAAAGATGATTGGAAAGGCAGGGGCTCAGAAGGCCGGTCGGCACCTGCCCCATGACTGGACTGGCCACGAAGGCTCTTCTAAGGTAGTAACTGCATGTATGCTTTGCAGAAGCTGTTGGCCTTCCTCACTTTGTTTTTGGAGTCAGCAAGAAGCTTTGGCACCGGCTGAGTTGCTCCATCCATAGGGATTGCTTCATTTTGGCGCTGGGCCTCTGCAGCTGCTATGGTCAGGCCAGAGAAGATGGAGCTTGAGTCAGATGACTTGGATTTTAATCCTCCCTCTTCCCTGGAATCGTGTTTGATCTTCCAAGGATCTTTCTGTTGCCCTCCTTTACTTTCTCCATCCATTTTAATAATAACTCAAATTTATATGGTACTTTAAGGCTTAGAAAGCACTTTTTTATATGATCCTCATGATAATCTTGGGGAAACCATGCCTCAGAGAGGCCAATTGATTCACCCAGAGTCACAGAGGAAGTGTCTCAGGCAGGATCTGAACCTAGGTCTTCCTTCATCCAAGGCCAGTGGTCTATTCCCTATACCAAAGGGTTTCTATAAATCAGAGTTAACAATATAAGAATAGCCTAATTAATTCATGGGGTTATTGAGAAAATGAGGCAATTTAAGTGCTTTGAGCTATTAAGGGAATATGAAATAGCTTATATATATACATACATACACATGTATGTATATATACATATGTGTGTATGTGTGTATGTGTGTGTGTGTGTATAACTCTATATGAAATAAAAGGGCAACTGGGTGGTGCACTGGATAAAGCACTGGACCTGGAGTCAGGAAGACTCAAGTTCAAATCTGGCCTCATATACCTACCAGCTGTGTGACCCTGGGCAAGTCACTTAACCCTGTTTGCCTCAGTCTCCTCATCTGTAAAATGAGCTGGAGATGGCAAATCACTTCAGTATCTTTGCCCAGAAAATCCAAATGGAGTCACAAAGAGTTGAATACACTTGAAACTACTGAACACAACAAATGTGAAATAAACTCAAGAAATAATTTGCAATCAATTATTGAAGTTACATTGCTTCAAACTGTACTTTAATGTGTCCCTTGAGTGCACTTGCTGCCAATTTTTTATATGATTTCCTATACAATTCACATATCATTGATGTTGTATCAGCAACAAGAATAAACTTAATTTTATTCAATTCATCAAGTATTTATTAAGCATGTACTAGGGTGCTCCAGCATGGGCCTGATGGACTGACAGCCAGCCAGAAATATGGACAGATGTAGTTGAGCTAGGGTTGTGGAACACACAGTAGAATCAGGAAGACCATAAGGAGGCACGGATGATGCGATCAGCTCAAGGTAAGTGTCAGCCTCTGACTGGCAGTATAGACAAAGTCAGCTGTTGGGAAGGAATACCACACCAGAACCTTGGGCTGTGGCTTCTACAACCTTATTGAAACTTAGCTCCGTGCTAGGATGCTGTCACCCAAGGGTCACTGGTGTATCTTTACTGCTAGGGAAATAAGGAAGACACTGGGAGCTGCATTCAATCAAAGCTGCTTCCTTTGCCACGTTGCTTCTGCAAGGATGTTAGATTACACAAAAATTTTCTAATTCCAGTTGATCTAGTCTATCCTATTCTTTGAGAGGTGTTGTGAATTGCCTTTTTTCACTTTCAAAATGATCCAGCAATTACTACTAAAGACAGTGAGGATGTGAGTTATTCAACAATAACAAATCATTAAACTATTAAAAACATCCTTGTATCTTTTACTAAACCATCTGAGTGGTACTTCAGACTTGAGTCTGCAATGTGGTGGCTCACTGGACTGACCTGGAACAAATTCATACATACCAGATGTTATGTTGGGTGCTGGAGATCCAGAGACAAAAACACCCTCAATCAGTTCACATTCCGTTGGAGGGGAATCACATAGGCAGATAAGGAAATGCAAAATGTATAAAAATTTAATTCAAAATAATTCATGTGTATGTGTATGGTAGTAGGAGAAGGAGGAAGGATAGAAGGAGGAAGAGGAAGAAGGGGAAAATAGAGAAGTGCTATCAACCTGAGAAGGAGGAGAGTGGGATCAGCAAAGGCACCATGTAGGAGGACCCTTGATCTGAGCCTTTAACGGACCTAGGGATTTTAAGAGATGGAGATTAGAAGTGAAAGTATTCAAAGTATGGGTGGGATGAGACCAAGTCAGAGTGCCTAGCATGAAAACCTGATATCCTACAAAGGTGTAGAGGCTGGAGATGGAATATCTTTTTTTTTTATTTTTTTTTGGCTAGGCAATGGGGTTAAGTGACTTGCCCAGGGTCACACAGCTAGTTAAGTGTCATGTCTCTGAGGCTGGATTTGAACTCAGGTCCTCCTGATCCAGGGCCAGTGCTCTATCCACTTTGCCACCTAGCTGCCCCTGGAATATCTTATATGGACAGCAGAAAAGAGGATGGTTTGGTTTTTGTGGTGAGGAGGAGGAGGAGGAGGAGGAGGAGGAGGAGGAATGTAATGTAAACCCAGACAGAGGGATTGGAAGAAGACTGTGCAGGGCAGCAAATGCCAAAAAGAGGACTTAACAGGGAGATAACAGGGAACCACTGAAGCTTCTTGAGAAAAAGAATAACATTGGTCAGAGCTGTGCTTTAGGAATATCAATTTGGCTGCTGTTCAGAGATTTCATTATGGAGGAAAAAGACTGAAAATAAGGACAATATGAGGAGGCCACGGCAGTAGTCTGGGAAAGAAGTAATGGTGTTCGGAACTAGTGTGGTAGCCACATGAATAGAGAGATGGAGATAAGTGGTCCAGAGGAAGAATTCATCAAACTCAGCAGCTGATTGGTTATGGAGAATGAGGTGGAGTGAAGAGGTGAGGCTCAATCAATCAGCTGACAAGTACATAGAGACAACGAGTGGGTAGAATGCTAGGTCTGGAAATAGGAAAACTTGGGTTCATACTTGCCATCAGACACTTATTAGCTGTGTGACTCTGGGCAAGTCAATTAAATCTTTGTCTGCCTCAGTTTCCTCATCTGTAAAATGGGGATAATAATAGCACCTACTTCCTAGGTTTGTTATGAGGCTCAAAATGGCATAATATTTGTAAAAGCACTTAGCACAGTGTCTGGCACATATTAAGTGCTTAATAAATAGTTTCTCATTGCCATAGGCACTGTCCTAAGTAATATAGATACAAATACAACAAATGAAACAATCCCCACTTGCAAAGAGTTTACATTTTTTTTTTTTTTTGGTGAACCAATTAGGATTAAGTGACTTGCCCAGGGTCACACAACTAGTAAGTGTGTGAATCTGGATTTGAACTCAGATCCTCTTGACTCCAGGACCAGTGCTTTATCTACAGTGCCACCTAGCTGTCCCCAAAGACTTTACATTCTAATGGAGGGAATCAATAAACTATGTATGAACCATATGCATATTTATATTAGCATATATGTATATATAATTTTGGGGGGAGTGTTGTTCGGTCATTTTAGTCATGTCCAAATTTTCACCACCTCATTTGGGGTTTTTTGGCAAAGACACTAGAACGGTTTGCCATTTCCTTCTCCAAACTCATTTTACAACAAAGGAAACTAAGGCAAACAAGTTTAAATGACATACTCAGGGTCACGTGCTAGTAAGTGTTTGAGGCTGAATTTGAAGTCAAGAAATCTTCCTGACGCCAGACCTGGCACTCATGCACTATGGCGCCACCTAGCTGCCCTATAATGTTTAGGAGTAAACAATAAATGCTTATTGACCTCGGACAGCCCTACAAAGTTTACTAGTATCTTTCAACAACCCCCCTAACATTGGCTACTCCCTCGTATCTTTTATCAGTGTTTCCACTTTGTTAAGTGTGAGGCGTTTTGATTTGTTTTCTGTTGTTTTGATTTGTTTCTGTTATTTTTAAGTGATCTGGAACATTCTTTCACAAAGTTGTTAATAATTTGCAATTCTTTTTAGAACAGTTTATTAATTCCTTTGACCCCTAAATCTCTTGGAGAATGGCTTTGGGTCTTACATATTTTAACTAGTTGCCAATAATTGCTGATATATCTTGGATTTCAGATCTTTATCATAGATACTTGATATAAAGACTTTTTCTCAGTTGACCATTTACCTCCTTATCCTGGTAGCATTAATTTTATTTTTGCAAAAGCATTTCAATTTCACGTGATTGAAATTGTCAAGTTTATCATTTGTAATTGCCACTATCCCTTATTTGGTGAATAATTGTCTCCCAAGCCACAGTGATGAAAGAATCCCTCCTCTTTTTCTGGATGTTTTGTGACATGATTTTTGATATTCAGGTCTCATATTCACTTGGAGTTTATTCTAAACTTAAATTCTGTCAGTTTAGTTTCCTGTTTTCCCAGCAATTCTTGTCAAATAAGGAATTCTTTTTTAGTTTTGAGCTCGAGAGTTTATTGTACCAAGTTGGATTGAGTTCAGTTACTTCTGATTCTTTATTTTCTATTTTGTCCCATTGAGTTACTTCCGTATTTTCTTTTTTTTTTTGGTGAGGCAATCAGGGTTAAGTCACTTGCCCAGGATCACAAACCTAGTGAGGATCGTTTGTCTGAGGCTGGGTTTGAACTTAGGTCCTCCTGACTCCAGGGGTGGGACTCTACCTTCTGTGCCACCTAGCTGCCCCTTACTTTTGTATTTTTTAACCAGGACCAAAAAATTTTGATGCTTACTGCTTTATAATGTAATATGAAACCTGAAAGTGCTATTCCCTCACATTTTTTAATGGTTTCCCTTGATGCTCTAGACTTTTTGTTCTTCCAAATAAATTTTGTTATTTTTTTGTCTAGGTCTATGAAATATCTCTTTGATATTTGATTGATGTAACTTTAAATCTGTAAATTAATTCTGGTAATGTCACTTTTATGATGTTATCATGGGGCCTTGTCTTTTCTAAACAACTCTAAGTTGCTTAGATCCTATAGAAATGGAAACATAACCTATTTTTTGAATTAGATGGATAGTTCTTCTCATAGCTCTTCAGATGTTACTTTTTGATGAATAATTCACTGAATCTTGATGTGCCAACATTCCTCAGGCATTTCTCATGGTTGCCAAAAAATTCTATGATATTATGAAATATTCTTCTTCTCTTTGCCTCTAAGGCAGTACCGCCAAACAAATAACTTTAAGGGTAGAAAAATGATTTGTTGACTGAGCATAGACTGTCCCTGAAGTTCCACAAAACATAGGAGAAAGGATCTCAAGCCTAGTTGAAGGTTCAGAAGGAGAGAAAAGTCATTTTCCATGTGTGAGTTTCATTTGGAGAGTGGCTAGATACTTTATCTTCTCCCCTTGAACAAACAAATTCTATTAAAAAATATGAGCTGGCAGAGCTGTAACTAGGGTGGGAGTGACTGAGGATTTCCCCAGAGTACCAAAATTTAGTGGGTACAAAAATTTAAGACATTCATACCAGGTTAATGGAAGCCACTGTATTTGTTCATTTCTACTCAGTTTCTTAACTACTTCTTGTATTATTTTATATCATGAGTTATTAAGTTGATTCAAATTCAATTCAAAAAGCATTTTCCAAGTACCTGTTTTGTGCCATTATGCTAAGCATTACAGACTCAATGACAAAAATTAAAACAATCTCTGTCTTCAAGGAGCTTATATTCTACTAAGCAGAAACCACGTATACCCAGATAAGTAAATGTGAAATATATACAAAATGAATTAAAAAAAATTTCAGGATAACATGCCAGACTGTGCTAAGTGCTTTACAAATATTGTCTTATTTGATCCTCACAACAACCCCGGGAGGTACGTGCTATTATTATCCCGATTTTATAGGTGAGGAAAGCTAGGCAGAGAGAGATTAAGTGATTTGCCCAGTGTCACACAGTTAGTAAGTCTCTGAGGCTGGATTTAAACTCAAATCTTCCTGACTCTGATTCCGGTGCTCTATGTACTCTGCTACCAGCTGCCTCCTTGAAGGAGCTTTAAATACTAAATGGATGAATTTGTGTTTGAGCCAAGAGACAATAGGTAGTCACTGGATTTTCAGGAGAAGGGGGATGGAAAGGAGCAGGTTTGAGGCTCTATTTCATGCTGATTTATACTATCTCACTGAGTGATCAGATCAGTTCTGATGAGGTCAATGATCATTTTATGCAGATGATTCTCAGAGCTATTTCTCCAACTTTTAACTTTTCTCCTGCTCCTCAGACTCACATCACTACCTTCCTCTTCAACCTCTGATACTAGATTGCCCATAGACATCTCAAACTTGACTGTCCATAAGAGAGCTCATTGTCTTTACCCCAATCCTCCCCTTCTTCCCTGTTACCATTGAGGACACCCCCTTCCTCCTCCCA